CTCTATTGGCTGCCCAGCACCCCTTCAATGGTCTCTTGATAATATCACCCGGATTTCCCTTTGGAAAATTATCTCTTCCTCGCTGGCTTTGGGCTTCAGGACTATTTTCCCAGATGCTTTTTTTTATCTTACCCTAGTCATAGCATGAAAACATTCTGTCATTCGTTCAGTGGTTCATTTCACAAATACTGAGCATCTACTTTGTTTCAAGTACTGTCCTTGGTGCTGAAAACATAGATTGATAATTAATAGTCTTCTCACTTCTGACTTTATGGAGCTTACCTTTGGCCTAAGCGGGGCTAACTGTCAAGCTCCTTCAATGGAATTAGGATTGTAAACAGAATGACACAATAACTAAAAATGATTGGACTCATCTATTCCAGCTTTGGCACCCTTGTGAGATGTGGGAGGAATTTCTGATTCTCGGACCCAAGAATTACTTACATCTCTATCCACAGGAACTACTGGGTGCTTACTTATATCTATATCCCTTTTCCCAGCCTTGCCATCAATGTCATGAGTACTCAACATACTTCCAATAAAATCCTCTTTTGTTTTTATTTACTGGTGTCAATTTTTACTACTTATAAACCAAGAACCTCCACTAATGTTGGAGCTGCTTCTCAGCCTATCTGGTCACTAAGCTGGCTTGGGTATCTCAGCTTACCAAAACTTGGAGTGTTTTTTTAAAAAAAATCAGTTTGATAAAAACAATAAAACAATTAGTTGAAAATAACTGAATCCACAGTGTAGAAAACATTACATGCAATTTGACACTACCCTTCTCTCTCTCTTCCTCTCTCTCTCTCTCTCGCTCGCTCTCTCATAGCTCTTCTCTCTTCATCCCCCAAAGAAATCAAGACTATCTAAAGCACAATTTTTTTTGGCCAAGCCAGGCAGAATGCAGGATCCCAGTTCCCAGACCAGGGATCGAACCCATGCCCCCTGTAGTGGAAGTGCACGGTCCCAACCACTGGACCACCAGGGAAGTCCCTAATGCACAATTTTAATAATAACCATTGGTGTCTTCTCACTAGGATATTGTTACTGTCTTTAGGCAGTGGTAGCTAGGAATATGTATGCCCTAGTTCTTGCCTATCTTGGTTTCTTCCATATTTTAACTCACCCACTTCTCCATCCCTCAGTGACTGGCATAGCTCACTGTTTGGAGCATGCTTTAGTAAAGGTTTTGTATCAGTGCAAATATCCTAATGGCTTGTCTTTCAGACTCTCTGTATAGTGTAGTTTCAAGTGAGTCTTGAAGGGAATGTGAGTCTCTGAGATGTGCCGCAAATGCATCCTATCCCTTTCTAAGCTGAATTGCACATGGCAGCAGAAAACATAAATCATTTTGGTTATTTTCAGAGTCTAAGCAGATAATGTAAACAAATAAATATAGAAAGACATAAGGCAATATAAGGTTGTGGAAGCCTATGAATCAGAGAGCATGTGCCCTGCTTACAGAACCCGCCACCACCTGGCTGTTGCCATGCAGAAACGTGGGCCCAGGGTCGCCAGATCTTTCCATTTTTCAAGAGAAGTTTTGAAATCTGGACTTGTGGGTAAATCTACCAATTTTGGGATGTTGGCAATGAAATAAAAGGGAATTAATGCTTGAAAACAAAACAAGATATGTTTATGGGCAGATTTTCGCCAAGGAGCTGTCAGTTTTCAGCTCTGGATCTTCCTTCATCTCTGCAATTCATCTCATGATATATCAGCTGATTGTGCTTCTCGATACTTTTAGCTTTATGTTTTGGTTCTTCCTTATTCTCCCACCTTGTTTGGAATCGATAACCTTCTTCCAGACCACTTGCTTTATGGTGTTGCTCTAGGAATTACCCCAGGCTCTGATGCTTGGGTGCTCTTGACTTCATTCCAGGCCTGGGGATGGCTGTCCAAGCCTTCCAGCCTCCAGCCTCTGCTGTAATGCTCTCCATGACAAGGAATTTACTACCACCCATCAGATGATTCCATCATATGAAGCCATATAATGTAATGGAAAGCATGTAGATTTTAGGGTAAAACAAGTACGAGTTCATCCCAGCTTGGTTACTTGGCCTGTGCAAGCCACAGTTTTATCTGTTAAACAGATACTCGTTTGAGGAATTAAATGTGATGACATTGGCCAGCATGTTGTCCCTTTCACATAGGAAGTAAGGGGGTCATAGTGGTGGTTTCCATTCCTTCTATTATTTCTTCTCCATTCATCTTGGGAATGCCCTCCTGAGTCCATACCAAATCTCACTTTCACATTGTAGTCTTTCAAAATTAAGAAACCATGTTCATATCTCCCCAGGTGTTCTCTTTTCCAGACTCAGTGGAACCGGTCAAGTGTAGAGGGACCCCCATATGGACATTAACCCCAGTCATTCCTGGGATTCAAGCAAGACGAGGATGTGTGTTTGCAGCTGTGGTAGAGAGGGACTTCTGGAAGCCTGTCTGGGGGACTGAGGATCCATCTGGGAAAGGGATCGTCTTAAGAAGAGGGTCTTGGGGAAAGGGTTTCATTCAGTTACAATGCTCCAATCTGAGAGTGGGAAGTGGTAATAGGGAAAAGGTCTTTCTCAGCACAGCATGTGAGATTTGTGCTCTAACACAGCACCTGTGGACACATGCCTGGCTGACTAAGGAGAAGGCAATGCAAAAAGAAATGAGTAAAAGAAGAACAAAAGGAAAAGAGCTGTTTTGACTGTAAAACATTGGGACCCAGGGCAGGATCGCTTGGAAGCTCATGAGACTGGACCGTGAGGGTGAGAGTTCTCCCATCAACACAGGCTTTGCTCCGCATCACCATCATCCCCAGCAGACAAACCCCTGTCAGGATTAAAGGGATACCGGCTCTGCAATGCTTTACACATTAAGCCTGCAATAATTGCTATTATTCGGTGTGATGGTGTGTGGCTTATAGCATCTGTGACTTGACAATCAAGTAATGAACTACTGATGAGGGAAATGAACCTGACGACAGCTGAGGCTGGAGACCATTAACATATAAGCCATTTCCTGCTGATGTTATCACCTGGGATTCTTTGATAATAGCTAATAATTATAACCACATTTATTGAGATGTTACTCTGTGCAGGGAGTGCTTTATACGGATTATTCCATGTAAGCCTCACAACTCTATGAGAAAATTGTTATTACTGTTCTGACTTACAGATGAGGAATCTGGGCAGATGAAAACAACACAGTTCCACAAAGTGTTGGGAAATGGGGGCTCAGGCATACGCATCAGTAGAGAGTTTAAGAGACACAAGCAGAGAAGTGACAGGGTGTAATAGGGAAGAACAAATCTGACTGCATATTAGATCTGTTTCTTTTACTTTAACCTTTGTGTTCTACCGCCTTTGCTTCCAGTTAAGAATGTTGCCTATATCCTGAAATACACAGGGTAGCCCATTCTCAAGGCTCTGACCTTTAAGAGTATAACACTTCCATTCATATAGAGATAAAAAGTTGCTGAACAGAGAATAACATTTGACTCATTGGAGGTTTACAGGAACATTGTGACCTGACCTATGTGGACAGCTGCAAGAGCAAAGGATTCCGACACCAAGAAGTTTGCAACAACTAACCACGACCCCTCCCCCTTTTAGTGTAAAAGAAGCCTGAATTCTGACTGGGGTAAGAGGGTTCTCTAGGACATTAGTCTGCCATCTTCTCGGTCTGCTGGCTTTCCAAATAAAGTCATTATTCCTCGCCCCAACAACTCGTCTCCCGATTTATTGGCCTGTCATGCAGCAAGCAGAACGAGTTTGGACTCAGTAACAAGAGCACACATGATCCCCTGAGCTATGATTGTCCTCAAGGAGGGATGACGCTCAGACTGGGCAGAGATAGGCTGGAAGCACCATGGGTGAGGATTCCACAGAGATGGATGCTACTCCTCCTCTACTTGACCATGGTAATAGGGAAAGGGCAGCGTCCGTGCCTTCCAGACATTTAGGTGCAAGGGGGATGAGCTGGGGATCTTGTTAAAAATGCAGATTCTGATTCAGTAGGTCTGGCGCGAGGCCCAAGATTCTGCAAGTCTTAAAATCCCTAAGGGGATGCCAATGCTGTGGGTCCAGAGATCACATTATGTGTAGCAAGGATCTAGGCAACTATATAACAATGGAGCTTGTGGTTAAAGAACTGACCTTGTGGGGAAAGAGCAGCCCAGCTCTGGTCTCAACTTACTCTGCCACTGAGCAAATTCAAAGCTGCTGAACCAACTCACTGCTACAGTAGCAGAGAAGAGAGTAGTAAGGAGATGAGACCCCACAGCCATCCACATGGGTCTCTTCTTAGTTCTCCAAATGAAACTAAAATGCCTTGCTTTTCACAATTAAAAAAATTGCACATTCAATGTAGCAAAACCACAAAACTAATAAAGTTAATTTTTTAACATCAATTTAATGCGATGGTAATACGTTTAATATTGTGGTAAATCAGCACCCATTAAGTGAACGGGATATAAATTACTATAGCCACGTTTCTTTTCCTTTTAGCAATGTCCCTCCGATTTTTAGTGTGAACTAACTGCAAAACTTAGTTTTGTACAGCTCACAACGATGTTATGTGGCCTTCGCTTGATACAAAAGCATCCTTTATCTATTATGCTCACCTCTCTTATTTTTGCATTAGCCTGTGACAATGAAAGTCATACATTATTGCTTTCATGATGACAAATCAAAATTTTCATTTAATAATTACATTAGAAGCTGAAGTCTTCTTTCATCAAAGTATCTTTCGATTGCAAAAAGGAATCTTTGTTTTTATTCCTGCCAAAATACTTCTAAGTGAATACAAGAACCGGAAGATGCAAAATTGTGCATCTTTTTTAATTTTTAAAATTCATTTTTAAAAACTATTTTTTTCTTGCATCAAAACAGTGTATTTTTATTTCCTACTTCCTCATGTGAGAATATAGATAAAATATCAGTTCTGTTTCCATCGCTACTTCCCAAACTTCTTCTGAATTGTTACTTTTATAATATCACATTTACAATACTTACATTTGGTTCTAGAATGGTAATTAGTCCTCTGAGCTTTATCAGTAGGTTGATTCTGAAAATGAAAATCAATAGTTATTTCATTATTATGACTGTTTAAACGTGGTTCACCACACAACTGTTTCTCTCTACAGTTAAATGTTCTTTCTCGTATGACTTTTTGCCTGGAGTTCAATTTTTTTGGAACTAATTACTTTTGGCATATTGTAAATTTTGTTCAACCTCTCCTATAAATTTAGTATCCTATCAAGTTCTCCTGTTTCCCTGGAGATAATGTCTGATTATGTCTTTATTCTACCATACTATTTATTGATACTTAGCTATGTATTAAAACTTTTTTTGTTAACATCTTTATTGGAGTATAATTGCTTTACAATGGTGTGTTAGTTTCTGCTTTATAACACAGTGAATCAGTTATATATATACATATATCCCCATATCTCTTCCCTCTTGCATCTCCCTCCCTCCCTTATCCCACCCTTCTTAGGTGGTCACAAAGCACCGAGCTGATCTCCCTGTGCTATGCAGCTGCTTCCCACTAGCTATTTTACATTTGGTAGTGTATATATGTCCATGCCACTCTCTCACTTTGTACCAGCTTACCCTTCCACCTCCCCACATCCTCAACTCCATTCTCTAGTAGGTCTGCATCTTTATTCCCGTCTTGCCTCTAGGTTCCTCATGACCTTTTTTTTTTAAGATTCCATATATATGTGTTAGCATACAGTATTTGTTTTTCTCTTTCTGATTTACTTCACTCTGTATGACAGACTCTAGGTCCATCCACCTCACTACAAATAACTCAATTTCGTTTCTTTTAATGGCTGAGTAATATTCCATTGTATACATGTGCCACACCTTCTTTATCCATTCATCTGTTGATGGACACTTAGGTTGTTCCCATGTCCTGGCTATTGTAAATAAAGCTGCAACGAACATTGTGGTATATGACTCTTTTTGAATTGTGGTTTACTTAAGGTAGATGCCCAGTAATGGGATTGCTGGGTCATATGGTAGTTCTATTTTTAGTTTTTAAGGAACCTCCATACTGTTCTCTATAGTGGCTGTATCAATTTACATTCCCACCCAAAGTGCAAGAGTGTTCCCTTTTCTCCACACCCTCTCCAGCATTTATTGTTTCTAGATTTCTTGAGGATGGCCATTCTGACCAGTGTGAGATGATATCTCATTGTAATTTTGATTTGCATTTCTCTAATGATGAATGATGTTGAGCATTCTTTCATGTGTTTGTTGGCAATCTGTATATCTTCTTTGGACAGATGTCTATTTAGGTCTTCTGCCCACTGTTGGATGGGGTTGTTTGTTTTTTTGATATTGAGCTGCATGAGCTGCTTGTAAATTTTGGAGATTAATCTTTTGTCAGTTGCTTCATTTGCAAATATGTTCTCCCATTCTGAGGGTTGTCTTTTCATCTTGTTTATGGTTTCCTTTGTTGTGCAAAAGCTTTTAAGTTTCATTAGGTCCCATTTGTTTATTTTTGTTTTTATTTCCATTTCTCTAAGAGGTGGGTCAAAAAGGATCTTGCTGTGATTTATGCCATAGAGTGTTCTGCCTATGTTTTCCTCTAAGAGTTTTATAGTGTCTGCCCTTACATTTAGGTCTTTAATCCATTTTGAGTTTATTTTTGTGTATGGTGTTAGGCGGTGTTCTAAATTCATTCTTTTACATGTAGTTGTCCAGTTTTCCCAGCACCACTTACTGAAGAGGCTGTCTTTTCTCCATGGTATATTCTTGCCTCCTTTATCAAAGATAAGGTGACCATATGTGTGTGGGTTTATCTCTGGGCTCTCTATCCTGTTCCATTGATCTATATTTCTGTTTTTGTGCGAGTACCATACTGTCTTGATTACTGTAGCTTTGTAGTATAGTCTGAAGTCAGGGAGTCTGATTCCTCCAGCTCCGTTTTTCTTTCTCAAGATTGCTTTGGCTATTCAGGGTCTTTTGTGTTTCCATACAAATTGTGAAACTTTTTGTTCTAGTTTTGTAAAAAATGCCAGTGGTAGTTTGATAGGGATTTCACTGAATCTGTAGATTGCTTTGGGTAGTAGAGTCATTTTCACAATGTTGATTCTTCCAATCCAAGAACAGGCTATATCTCTCCGTCTATTTGTAACATCTTTAATTACTTTCATCAGTGTCTGGTAATTTTTTAATACAGGTCTTTTGCCTCCTTAGGTAGGTTTATTCCTAGGTATTTTATTCTTTCTGATGCAATGGTAAATGGGAGTGTTTTCTTAATTTCACTTTCAGATTTTTCATCATTAGTGTATAGAAATGCAAGAGATTTCTGTGCATTAATTTTGTATCCTGCTACTTTACCAAATTCATTGATTAGCTCTAGTAGTTTTCTGGTAGCATCTTTAGGATTCTCTATGTATAGCATCATGTCATCTGCAAACAGTGACAGCTTTACTTCTTTTCCAATTTGGATGCCTTTTATTTCTTTTTCTTCTCTGATTGCTGTGGCTAAAACTTCCAAAACTACATTGAATAATAGTAGTGAGAGTGGGCAACCTTGTCTTGTTCCTGATCTTAGTGGAAATGGTTTCAGTTTTTCACCATTGAGGATGATGTTGACTGTGGGTTTGTCATATATGGCCTTTATTATGTTGAGGTAAGTTCCCTCTATGCCTACTTTCTGGAGGGTTTTTATCATAAATGGGTGTTGAATTTTGTTGAAAGCTTTCTCTGCATCTATTGAGATGATCATATTGGTTTTCTCCTTCAATTCGTTATTTTGCTGTATCACACTGATTGATTTGCATATATTGAAGAATCGTTGCATTCCTGGGATAAACCCCAATTGATCATGGTGTATGATCCTTTTAATGTGCTGTTGGATTCTGTTTGCTAGTATTTTGTTGAGGATTTTTGCATCTATGTTCATCAGTGATATTGGCCTGTAGTTTTCTTTCGTTGTGACACCTTTGTCTGGTTTTGGTACCAGGGTGATGGTGGCCTTGTAGAATGAGTTTGGGAGTGTTCCTCCCTCTGCTATATTTTGGAAGAGTTTGAGAAGGATAGGTGTTAGTTCTTCTCTAAATGTTTGATAGAATTTGCCTGTGAAGCCACCTGGTCCTGGGCTTTGGTTTGTTGGAAGGTTTTTAATCACATTTTCAATTTCAGTGCTTGTGATTGGGCTGTTTATATTTTCTATTTCTTCCTGGTTCAGTCTTGGAAGGTTGTGCTTTTCTAAGAATTTGTCCATTTCTTCCACGTTGTCCATTTTATTGGCATACAGTTGCTTGTAGTAATCTCTCATGATCCTTTGTATTTCTGCAGTGTCAGTTGTTACTTCTCCTTTTTCATTTCTAATTCTATTGATTTGAGTCTTCTCCCTTTTTTTCTTGATGAGTCTGGCTAATGGTTTATCAATTTTGTTTATCTTCTCAAAGAGTCAGCTTTTACTTTTATTGATCTTTGCTATCGTTTCCTTCATTTCTTTTTCACTTATTTCTGATCTGATCTTTATGATTTTTTTACTTCTGCTAACTTTGGGGTTCTTTTGTTCTTCTTTCTCTAATTGCTTTAGGTGTAAGGTTAGATTGTTTATTTGAGATGTTTCTTGTTTCTTGAGGTAGGATTGTATTGCTATAAGCTTCCCTCTTAGAACTGCTTTTGCTGCATCCCATAGGTTTTGGATCGTCGTGTTTTCATTGTCATTTGTTTCTAGGTATTTTTTTATTTCCTCTTTGATTTCTTCAATGATCTCTTGGTTATTAAGTAGTGTATTGTTTAGCCTCCATGTGTCTGTATTTTTTACAGATTTTTTTCCTATAATTGATGCCTAGTCTCATAGCGTTGTGGAAAAGATACTTGATACAATTTCAATTTTCTTAAATTTACCAAGGCTTGATTTGTGACCCAAGATATTATCTATCCTGGAGAATGTTCTATAAGCACTTGAGAAGAAAGTGTATTCTATTGTTTTGGATGGAATGTACTATAAATATCAATTAAGTCCATCTTGTTTAATGTATCATTTAAAGCTTGTGTTTCCTTATTTATTTTCATTTTGGATGATCTGTCCATTGGTGAAAGTTGGGTGTTAAAGTCCCCTACTATGATTGTGTTACTGTCGATTTCCCCTTTTATGGCTGTTAGTACTTGCCTTATGTATTGAGGTGCTCCTATGTTGGGTGCATAAAAATTTACAATTGTTATATCTTCTTCTTGGATTGATCCCTTGATCATTATGTAGTGTCCTTCTTTGTCTCTTGTAATAGTCTTTGTTTTAAAGTCTATTTTGTCTGATATGAGAATTGCTACTCCAGCTTTCTTTTGATTTCCATTTGCATGGAATATCTTTTTCCATCTCTTCACTTTCAGTCTGTATGTGTCCCTAGGTCTGAAGTGGGCCATGTAGTGAATCTTAAATCAAAATAGTTGTCCCTCTGAAAGTCAAAAGCTCCTAATGTTTGAAGCTGATGATGAGTAGTATCATGTTGACTTCTTGTTTTCATTTTGATTTTTTTTTCCTCATTTTTTGCTTTTAGGGTTTCCCTTTTATCATAGATGTTATGACATTTTGTGGTAATGTTCTATGTGGGTTTTTTGTTTTTGTTTCAATTCACTGGGCAGTAGGTGTACATTTTCAATCTGAACATTAAAAGTCCTTCAGTTCTGGAGAACTGTCCTCATTACTTCTTTGATACTTTCCCCTATCATTTTTCCCTTGGTCAGATGTTCAGTGCTCTTGCATTGACCCTCTGGGTTTCTTTCTCATATTTTCCATTGCTTTGTTTTCGTGTTCTTCTTCTGAGATATTTCCCAGATCTAATTTTCCAACTTTGCTATTGAATTATTTTCTCTTCTGACAAATACATATTTACTATCTAGGAGAGAATTTCTTAGTATGTGTTTATTCCATTTTCACTGTGTTCTATGCTTGTTTGAATATTTTCTCAAATCTCCCTGAGGACACACATTAGAGTTTGGAGAAGTTCCCTCCTGTTCTTTCCGTGAATCCTGTTCCCTGTTGTGTGTCTGTTCATTTTGATGTCTCTCTTCCATGTTGGAGGGTCTGTCATTTGAAGACCTTTGACTTTTCATGCTTAAGAAGAAGTCAGTTAAACCTGATGAGGGTCCTGTGGTATAGATGAACCTTGCTCATTTTGCCAATTTGCTCTAAGTGAGAGCAGTTTGGGGAAGCAAGTAAACCATAACCTGGTGAGCCCCTAAATGATAAAATGTAAAAGACATTTCTCTGGAGCCTTCCAGTTTCTGTGGAAGAAATACTCGTTTTTAAAAAAGTATTAGAGTAGAAGCTTAGCTTCCAAGAATTACGCCCTCCAGAGTGGAGTGGGTTTGACTGTTTCATATATAAACTTTTGATTAATCACATTGTTTTCTACCTCACAATTTTAATCCTACCCTTTTTTTTTTTTTTTTTTTGCGGTACTCGGGCCTCTCACCGTTGTGGCCTCTCCTGTTGCGGAGCACAGGCTCCGGACGCACAGGCTCAGCGGCCATGGCTCACGGGCCCAGCCGCTCCACGGCACGTGGGATCTTCCCGGACCGGGGCACGAACCCGTGTCCCCTGCATCAGCAGGCAGACTCTCAACCACTGTGCCACCAGGGAAGCCCCCTACCCTCTTTTATACATGATATTTCATAGTGCTGAGACCCTTAAATACATGGAAGGGCATATTGCCTCCCTCCTTATTTGAATCTCCTTTCAGTACATACTCTGGGCTGTGGCTTCCTTATTCTGTTTCACCAGTTTTCAATTCTTCATATCTTATCCATCTTCCAGAAATTTGATAAAATCTTTCTTCTCATGGCTCTCTTTTTATCTTCTTATCATTGAATATTTAGACATCATTTTCATTCCTTTACTATCGTTTTACTGAGATACTGGTAGAGAAAGGGAACAAACTCATGTTGTCAAACAGTCAACTTCAACCAGAAGTCATTATTGTTACTTTAGCATCAGAAATGCCAATCTATTGCCAGCCTGATATGCTTACCTAGGTCTTTAAAGGTAAATGCTTCCTTTAATTGGCACCAATGATTACTTGGTGAAATTATAAACCACATGCAAAGACAGTACTTGATCATAAGGATATGTGTCAAATATGATCGTATTCCCTGTAAGTAATAGGGAAACCTCAACTCAATCTGTTTAAACAGTAAGGAAATGTATTATTTCATATATCATTAAATCAGGGGGAGGCAGAACCCACAGTGAGTAAAATCAGGACTGTTTACTTTTGAGATTTTGTTGACTGCTTTCCTCTCTATGCGGACTCACATTAGCTTCCATGCGGTGACAAAATGGCTTCCTGCGCATACACAAGATGATTTCCTGCATGTATACAAGACGGCTTCCTGTGTGTACATAAGACAACTTCCTGCATGTAAAGAAGATGATTTCCTGCATGTACACAAGATGGCTTCCTGCACGTACATAACTTCCTGCATGTATACAAGATGATTTCTTTCATGTACACAAGATGACTTCCTGCACATACACAGATGATTTCCTGCATGTATACAAGATGATTTCCTACATGTGCACAGATGACTTCCTGCATCTACACAAGATGATTTCCTACATGAACACAAGATGACTTCCTGCATGTACAGAAGATGGCTTCCTGCATGTACACAGATGACTTTCTGCACGTACATAAAGTGATTTCCTGCATGTATACAAGATGAATTCCTGCATGTGCACAGATGACTTCCTGCATGTATACAGGATGATTTCCTGCCTATATACGAGATGATTTCCTGCATATATGCAAGATGACTTCCTGCATGTACATAAGATGACTTCCTGCATGTCCACAGATGACTTCCTACATGTATACAACATGACTTCATCCATATACACAGGATGATTTCCTGAATGTATACAAGATGACTTCCTGCATGTATACAGATGACTTCCTGCATGTGTACAAGATGACTTCCTGGGGATTTCCTGGTAGCACAGTGGTTAAGAATCCGCCTGCCAATGCAGGGGACACAGGTTCGAACACTGGCCCAGGAAGATCCCACATGCCGCAGAGCAACTAAGCCTGTGTGCCACAACTACTGAGCCTGCGTTCTAGAGCCTGCGAGCCACAGCTACTGAGCCTGTGTGCCACAACTACTGAAGCCCGCCCGCGTGCCTAGAGCCCATGCTCCCCAACAAGAGAAGCCACGAAAATGAGAAGCTCGCGCACCACAAGGAAGAGTAGCCCCCGCTCTCTGCAACTAGAGAAAGCCTGCGCACAGCAACGAAGACCCAACACAGCCAAAAATAAAAACAAATAAATTAATTAATTTTAAAAAAGATGACTTCCTGCATGTATATAAGATGATTTCCTGCATGTACACAAGATGGCTTCCTTCATGGTCACTAGAGACAACTAGGGAAACTAGTTTTCCATTTTTATATCCTGTGAATGAGAGGGGAGAAAAACTTCCTCCAACTACAATATAAAAAGTCATCCTGGCAATCTCAAGCCTACCCCACGCTTTTAAGTCATCAGGGAATGCTAGTTTACTTACTTAAATCTGTGTTTCTGAAACAAATAATTGCAAGGGAAATAGGATTGCAATGATTTGCATAAAGAAACCAGAATCCAACTTGAGAACATGGGCTGAGTGAGGCATGGGCATACCTGAAGAAAAGATGGGGCTTTGGAAAAGATGACTGGGAAATAGGACAAAATAGGTAAACCAACAGGGTCTACCATAGTTGGGTGATCCAGGACATGCTTTTATTTTAATTACTATTAATGCCAACATGGCAATGTACTATTTAAATATCCTCATGGAGAACTCTCAAGCACCTGACAACACATTCAGGAAATTCCTCACCTCACCACACCACACTGTTTCTCCAGATGCAGGCCTCCCCATCAATCACCCTCTCTATGCTCCCTCCCTACAGAGAGTAGGCTCCACTTAATGTGCCCTCTGAGATGAAAGTTGCCTGGAGGCTCTTAATTGCCAGTCCAAGAGGCGAGTCCCTAGCAAAGATTTTGAGTCAGCTTTATGAGGGGTAAAGCCATGATGCTGTCCCAACCCCAGTGACGTCTGAAAAAGAATGACCATTATTACTGTTTTCCAACACTGCCTTTCCTTTCTACTGCCTAACTTCGATTTACAGCCCATGCTCAGTTCTTGATCACACTGCTCTCTGCCTGCACCTCCCACATTAATACTGTGTGTGCAAGTAATTCATCTTCCAATGTATTACAAAAGTGTCAACCATGCTAGGTTCATCCAGGCAACATTAAAGTTCAATTAAAATAGAAACCTGCAGAGTAAGTGAATGTTACCTTACCTAGGCCCAAGATTAACTTCTCAGACTTTGAAGGTCCAAGTTTTGTTAGCAAAATCAGAAAAAATTATGTAGCTTGGGAAAACTGAGCAGGTCAAGTTTGACTAACTTTGCTTTTATTCATGGATTTATTCCATGCACATTCCCGAATGTCTACTCTGAGGAAGCAGCTGGATGAGGCCCTTAGGGAGACCTAGATATTCTCCACCCATAGAGCAGAGTCTTAAATAAAGTTCCCTAAAGACACAGACTACTGAGATGGAGATTACTACAGGTGCTCTTGGAATTAGCACCTGGAAAGCAGTGAGTGAAGCAAAACTGATAAAAGGAAGAAGTTGAACAGAAATAGGTGGGAGGGAGATGCAAGAGGGAAGAGATATGTATAATGTATAGCTGATTTCACTTTGTTGTAAAGCAGAAACTAACACACCATTGTAAAGCAATTATACTCCAATAAAGATGTTAAAAATAAATAAATAATAAAGCATTTTTTGCCCCCAATTCAAAAAAAAAACAAAAAAAGAAATGCAGTTGCAACAAAGGCCTGAGCTTGTCCTACAGGGAGCTCTGAAGGGGGGATGGCCTTTTGTCATGATCCTGAATTGAAGCGAGGAAGCCAGGTCTGTGTGCCTTCACTTGATCAGTCACTAGAATTTCACTGCTCCTGAGGAAAGGCTATAACTTTTGGCAAGGCAACTCCCTTCAGCTGAAAACAATTCTGGCAGAGTGACTCAGCTGTGAGCCGTCAGCAGCGCAAACTCCCAGCAGCTGAGGAATGAGTGCTTTAGTTCTGAGGGGAATCTGGGCAGTTCACGACTGCTTCTACACCAGGGAGTGGAGTTAAAAATGTATAGCTTGACTTCTGGTCAAGGGAGAATTATAAGGTAGGTGTCTTGAAGCCCTACTGCTATTCCAAATACATGGCAACAAATGACAAAATATAAAAAGTAATTAGCAAAGATGCACATTCACATATGATACAAAAAAACAAAGATTAAAAAGATATGTTTGTGTGTTTGACACATTGCCCTAATACAAACGTTCTTTGTGGGCACAAGATGGGTTTTTATAGCAATAAGAAGACTTTCTATAGTAATTAGAGCAACAGGCTTCCTTATTCGTATCCTATGAGAGAGGGAAAAATCAACCTCTCCATTAGCCACAAAATAAAAGTCCTACCCTCCAGTCTATGTCATCAGAAACGGAAGATGGTAAAGGGGTTCCTGGAGCAGTAAAAGGCAGCCAGGGGTTTGGCTCCTGCAAGGAAATGGAGACTGAACACTCCCCATGACAGGAAGGGGACAAGAGCCAAGATTACTGCTCGAGCCCAGGAGATAGATTATCTTTTCCCGTCTCTGAAAGAAAGCTGAAAAAGCTGAGACTTACTACAATGAGAGAGCGAGGCGGGCAGGAGGGAGTAGATACAGCCTCAATCCAACACTTGGACAAGCAGTCCAGCGGCTCAGTAGCTGCAACTATGTTAGTGCAATATTATCAACAAGTACCTTAATCCAATAAGAGAAAACTGGGTTCTGGACCAGGGGCCATGAAGAGCCAGGTGCAAAACTGGTTAAGTAGGGAGGAGTGGGCACAGAGAAAAAGAGGAGGAGAAAAAAGGTTTTCACTGAAGTTGAGACAATAATACAAAATAATAAAATATTTAGTGAGATCTAATGTTAAGAGAGAAATCCTGGACTCCCCTGGTGGTCCAGTGGTTAAGAGTCCACACTTCCAATGCAGGGCACACGGGTTTGATTCCTGATCAAGGAAGTTCCGCATGCCACACGGTGAAAAAAAAAAAAAAAAAAAAAAGGCAAGAAATCCTATAGAATCCACAATGAACAATCAACAATGAGTAATCATTAATGAAAATAACAATAATGCAAATAATAGAACAATCTGAAGTTAACATTAAAATAATTATGTTCCAGAGGATGACATCAGCATCATGGTGGCATAAGAAGCCCCTCATTGTTGTCCCCCTTCCCCCCAACCAACAACAAAGACTCGGCATCCATCCATGGACGAAAGTACCTTTAGGGACCTATGGGATCCAGCATCACATAGGACCTGAGAGGAGCCTCACCAACCCATGTGTTGAAAATAGATAAGTAGACCTTGGTCCTGGCTGTGGACCCTGCTGTGGCCCATGAACTGGCTCCAGCCCCTCTCAACTGCAGCCCGTGAGCCCCCAGAAAACACTATCTTAGATAATCACCCACAGATGAGAGAGCCTTTGTGGAAGTCCAGGTTTCAAGAGGAGAGGTTCCAGCACACTGCTGGGGGAAAAAATATGAATTTGGATGCACCATAGTGGATGAGAGGAACAGTTTCATTGAATAGATAAAGAATTTGTGGGATATGCATCATATATATATGAAAAAGTATTCAGCCATGAGAAGGAAGTAAATCCTGTTGTTTGCAAACAACCTGGATGGACCTTGACAGCATTACGCTAAATGAAATAAGTCAGACAAAGAAAGACAAACGCTGTATGATATCACTTATATGTGGAATCTAAAAAAGTTGAAATTGGGAATTCCCTGACAGTCCAGTGGTTAGGACTCTGTGCTGTGGTTACCAGGAGCTGGGGAGGGGATGGGGGTTGTGGGGAAAGATGGGGAGACATTGATCAAAGGGTACAAATTCCAGTTATAAGACAAATGCGTTCTGGGGATCTAATGTACAACATACTGACTGTAGTCAATAATACTGTATTATACACTTGAACATTGCTAAAGGAGTAAATCTTAATATTCTCACCACAAAAAAAGAAATGGGAATTATATGATGAGATGGAGGTGTTAGCTAAGACTATGGTGGTAATCATTTTGCAATGTATACATATATCAAATCAACACATTGTATACCTTAAACTTAACACAATGTTTATGTCAATTATATGTCAATAAACCTGGGGGTAAAAGTGAAAATCTAATTATTAATTAATTAATGTTCCATATCTTTGAAAGAAAAAAGGGAAGAAGTAGCAAATAACATTACTTTAAAAAAACCAAGAAGTTATGAGGGGACACAAGTGGTTATAAAATATATATTAAAAAGTGTCTCCTAGGGCTTCCCTGGTGGCGCAGTGGTTGAGAGTTCGCCTGCCGATGCAGGGGACACGGGTTCATGCCCCGGTCCGGGAAGATCCCTCATGCCGCGGAGCGGCTGGGCCCGTGAGCCATGGCCGCTGAGCCTGAGCATCCAGAGCCTGTGCTCTGCAACAGGAGAGGCCACAACGGTGAGAGGCCTGCGTACCGCCAAAAAAAAAAAAAAAAAAGTGTCTCCTAGAAATGAAAACAATTTTTAAATTTAACATTTTAAAATCAGTAGATGATATAAACTCTAGACTGGATATAATTAGCAAGAATTGGTTGGGCTTTCCTGGTGGCGCAGTGGTTGAGAATCTGCCTGCCAATGCAGGGGACACGGGTTTGAGCCCTGGTCTGGGAAGATCCAACATGCCGCGGATTAACTAGGCCCGTGAGCCACAACTACTGAGCCTGTGCGTCTGGAGCTTGTGCTCCGCAAAGAGAGGCCGCAACAGTGAGAGGCCCGTGCACCGCGATGAAGAGTGGCCCCCGCTCGCCGCATCTGGGGAAAGCTGTCGCACAGAAACGAAGACCCAACACAGCCAAAAATAAATAAATAAATTAAAAAAAAAAAAGAATTGGTGAATTGAAAATACTACTGAGAGTGCAGTAAAATGCAGAGAAATAGAAATATTTTTTCATTAAACAATAATTAAGAAACAGAGAGAATACATTGATAGTCTCCAAAATACATCTAATAGAAAAATTTTAAGTATAGGATAAAGTGAGTGGCAGAGTAGAAACATTTAAAAAGACAATGGCTGAGAATTTTCCAGATTTGCTGCAAGATGCACCCAATCCAGGTAAAATAAATGAAAATGAATGCACATCCAGAAGCATCTTAGTGAAATTTAAGGACATCAAGAAAAAATAGTCTTTAAGTTACCAGAAAGGAAATAGATTACCGACAAAGGAATGACAATTACATTGTCAGCAGACTTCTCATCCACAACCATTAATGCCAGAAGGCAATCTTCACAGTGCTGAGGGGAAATAACCATAACCTACAATATCCTACCTTGCTAAATGTAAAGGAAAAATAAAGACATTTTCAAATATACAATGATTAAAATAATACACTACCTGTAGACTCTTCTGGACACTCACAGAAAGAATTATCAAAAGATATAATTCAGGAAGAAAGAGGTAATTTGTGCACTGGGTGAGGCAGTCAGTAAACAAAGATTTATTGAGCATCTATTATACATAGAACTGTGGCCTTGGCCCTGTAGGTACATGATCCCTGACCTACAAAGTTTATAGTCTCGCTCTAAAGGACTAAGTTGAAGAGTATCTCAGGCAGAAGGAATAGACGGTAGAAAGGTATATGGGCCTGAAAGCACATGGGGTGTTACAAGGATAAGTAATCAGGAGTTGAGGTCAAATGGCTCATGGTTGAAAGAGCTGAAACTGAAAAGATTGAGTCCAGGATGTTCTTACAGCAATGGGGATCCACTATGGGCTTTTAAGAGTGATTAAGTCCTGGTAATTTAGTTTGGTATCAACATGATAGCTTGAATTGTTAAAAATGGGAATACAGAATGTGTGAATCCCCAAACCCTCCTTCCAGGGAGAATAAAGTTAAAACTTTCAGTGGAGACATTTAAAAGATATCAGCCCTTTTCTGCATATCATTTAATGCATCTGAATTTTTTCAGTTCTAGTCATTGACCATCTTTATACTTTGATGCTGTGGGTCACAAAGAAAGAGAGTGAAAACAGGATAAATCCCAAATGAAACCAAAACAAACTAAAATAAAAGGGTAAACCTCTGACCTTTAGTCAGTTTTCCTTTCTGAAGAAAGGTGTGCACATGAATTTGTTTCCCTAGCTACCATGCAGAAAAATAGAAGATGCAGTATTTGGTAATTTTATGGCTATTAGAATAATAAAGTGTCATAGAAAGTTACTGCATTTTAAGACAGTATTATCCTTCATACACGGACCCTAGGGAGCAGGAAAAGATGGGGAAGATATCATATGCAGAAATAGTTCATGTGTTTATAGGTCATTTTAGAAAAGTTCTGTGTGACTAGGCAAGATGCTAGTCAGCAGTGGCTGTACTGTGTGCTACGCTCTCAGGAATTAGCCCACAAGGTAGCTCCTCTGAAGGTAAATACAATGTAATGAATCTGATACCGGAGCTACTTCATCCACAAGCACATAAAACTGGCCAATTTGATTTTGTACCGGGGCAAAAACCATGGCAATACATACAGTGTAGCAAACACACCAATACAGCCATGAATGTACCTTTTCAGGAATAAACAGGAGCTTTCAAAAGAGGACATGAAGGACTAAGGAGTGTTTGATGATATTGTAAGTGGTTGGGGAATGGGAATGCTTTGCTTTTGTCTAGGGAAACTAATGGGCTCTACATCCTGAAAAGTATAAATTCAGTCATTGTAGTTGAATGGAAGAAATTTAAGGGAAGTATTTTTTTATGAAGCTAAAAGTTGTCTTTACAGGTAATCTAATCCAATCTTTGGAATCTAAGCACATCCTAATTATGTTGACAGAAAAGGGGATGGATATGTCAACCATTGCGATGGCCTTCTCCAGATTCCATCTGTCAATAGAAAGTCTTTCCTTGTATTCCCAGGGGACTTGAGTAGATTACTCAACCCTCCACCTATCTTAGGCAATACCATAGGGAAAGCTTATCAGATGAAAGCCTGTCATTAAAAAAAAAAAAAAATGTCAACCATGCCTACTCTTTTTGTAATCTATCAGACCATTGGGTAAGTCTTCCTAACATTTTAATATGTTGACATTGCTAATATTCTCTACCATCCACTGGTTTTTATGCTCCAAAGGCCCCCGTTGCCTTTGGATTCAAACAAAACCCCTTAGAATATGCCTCCTCTGATCTTTCCCCTACATGCGTCCTTCCCCAGCTTACTCTCTGGACTCATTTAACTGCACCATTTAATGTGTATGAACCATGCCAAGCCATTCACGCCCTTCAGGACATGCCACTCTTCCTTGTCATCTGTTTCAGATGGTCCCTGAGTTAGCTCAAGGAATAACGGAGTGTGAACTGGATTACTCAGTGCTTCCTAACCCAGTCCCACAAACAGGTAAATTAAGTGTTCATTACTTCCAGGCTCTTGAAACCAAGGGTGGTCAAAGAACAAAGTTGGAGTTGCACCCATCCACCATCCCTTATCTAAATGCCGAAGGTGTGCTCCACTGGGATGGTGATAGCTGACAGTAGAAAAGATGTTTGCTACTGATTCCTCTTGGACCATGTCTTCACTATGGCTGGGCCACTGACTTCAGCAGCTTTTTCAAGAGGAAGACCAAAATATCAGGTCTAGAGTTGAGGCAATAGCTGAACAAGAATAATGTGCACTGAAGTTAAATTAATAAGTTAAAGAAACACACACACATACATACATATCAACTATGACCAGGTTTCTGCCTTCCACCATCTTTTTACTCTACACCTGTTATCCATCATTGGTGCAAATGCTCCAAGTCTGATATATCAGAATATAAATTCACCTCCTAACTCTCTTGTTAACTCTTAAGTCAAACACATTAGAAGTAGGAGCCTATTTATTATTGAGTCAACCATTTTATCTTGATTAATGAAAACAATTTAGGAATAAGTAAACAAAGAAAGAAGCTGATGGTATTGAGTGCAAGGTTTTGACTTGCCTCTATACTCAAGAGGACACTTCCAAATCTAAAAGCTTTCCTTTTTCTCACAATTTCCTATTTCTCCAAGTCAAAGTAATCATAACAATTCTTTTTTGTATTAATTTTTATTGGAGTATAGTTGCTTTACAAAGTTGTGTGAGTTTCTGCTGTACAGCAGAGTGTATCAGGTATATATATATATATATATATATATATATATATATACCCTCTTTTTTGGATTTCCTTCCCACACTTCACTATATGGCATTACAGCTCACATATATTTCTTCTTCTAGCCAGTTAATTACACTTAAAAATAAATATGCATATGTTAAAGAGCTAACAGTGAATTCCCTCTAAATATTGATTGGATTTTAAATACTATACTCATTGTAGATCAAGACTTATGAAGTATGAGACATGTTTTTCTGAAATTTGGCCTCTACCCAACTTTAAACCCTATCTGCCTTGAAAGATCTTCCACATTTCTTCCGTAAACCTTAACTATGCTTCAAGGCCAGGCTTCAACCTCCTTTCTGAATCCTTTCTTCAACCCTCCAGGTGGTGCTGTAATAAGGGGTAGGAATGGTCAGCTCCAAAAGAGAGAAGTATTTTCTCACTGATGTTATTTAGAATTGCCAGCATACAGTGAAAATAGAAAGCAGATTGATTTTATGTTGGTTTTATTATTGTTTTTGCATTTTCTATAGTTGCCTATACCCAAGGCAAACTTTTTCCTACTCCTTCTCCCCACATTGGTATACCACTCTTTTCAAATGGAAGCGATACCTACCTTCTTTTTTTATGCCTGCTTTCTTTTATACCACTTGCATGTAACATCAAATTTTGTCTTGTGTGGAGAAGTGTGTCCATATTTCATCATAAGTCATTTGAGATCAGGGATTACATCTTTTCCATTCCCTGAAGTGCTCAGCAGAGTGTCTGAAACAAAGAAGGCCAGCAGTTCACACTGGTTTAATCAACAAGTCATGAGTATTACCATATGATCCAGCAATCCCACTCCTGGACATATATCCAGAAAAGATGAAAACTCTAATTTGAAAAGATACATGTACCCCAATGTTCACAGCATCACTATTTACAATAGCCAAGACATGGAAGCAACGCAAATGTCTATCAACAGATGAATGGGTGGTGGTATGTGTGTGTGTGTGTGTGTGTGTGTATATATATATATATATATATAAAATTGAATATTATTCAGTCATAAAAAAGAATGAAATATTGCCATTTGTAGGAACATGGATGCATGTAGAGTTTATCATACTAAGTGAAGTAAGTCAGACAGAGAAAGACAAATATTATATGATATCACTTATGTGATAAGTAGAAACTAAAAAAACAGTACAAATGAACTTATTTACAAAACAGAAACAGACTCACAGACATAGAAAACAAATTTACGGTTACCAAAGTGGAAATGGTGGGAAGGGATAAATTAGGAGTATGGGATTAACAGATACATACCACCAAATATAAAATAGATAAACAACAGGGTATATTGTATAGCACTGGGATCTATAGTCAATATCTTGTAATAACCTATAATGGAAAAGAATCTGAAAAATATACAAATATATAATAATCAGTTTTATATATATATATATATATATATAAAACTGAATCACTTTGCATGAAACTAACACAATATTGTAAATCAACTACAGTTCAATTTTAAAAAATCATGAGTGAATATACGTAGGAAAGCTGAGATTCAGAGAGATTAAGCAACGTACCCAAAGTCACAGAGAGTTATTAATGGAATTGATTGGAATCCATGACTGTCCAATTTAAGTAAAGCCATCAATCATGCAGAAATTGCTCATTCATACTGCTAAACTAAACTCACAGACAGCTAACCACTTATTTCACTTCAGCAATAACAGGTCATGTAAGAGTATGTGAGGTCAAGAGTATATACTTTTCTCTAAACAAATGTGAAATATCCAGAGGTTAAGAAAATTTCCTCGTTTTGATTATTTTTTGTGTGTTAGGCCTTTTTATCTTTTGAGGAAGAATATAAAGATGAAAAAGCATTCCCAGGTTTTTTTTCAGCCTAATTGAAATATTCTCTACATCAAATATGTTCAATGTAGTAGAAACTACAGATGTTATTGCTTTAATTTTATAACCCAATTATTCTTTTATTTCTAGTTGTCTTCAGGATAAATTAACTCTTATCAGCTATTCAAATAGGTAATTATCATAAAGCTAAATACCATACAAGCTCATAATCCATGTTAATTTATAGACTAAACTGGAGTAAAATCATGCTCTGGAGTTACAGGAAAGGAATTCCAGATTTTTATTATTTCTCAACATTTTATCCCAGAACACCCAAAAGAAATTTAACAAGGAGATGATTTCTTTTTGTGAAGAAAAGGATCTAGAATTGTTTGTTTGTTTCACTGTAGCAAAATGAATGCTAAACTTGAGGCAAAAGATAATGAGTTTGGATATAAGATCTATAAGGTCAAGTCATGTGGATTAATCTCCAAAATTTACAAGTAGCTCATGCAGCTCAATAACAAAAAAACAAACAACCCAATCCAAAAATGGGCAGAAGACCTAAATAGACATTTCTCCAAAGAAGATATACAGACTGCCAACAAACACATGAAAGAATGCTCAACATCATTAATCATTAGAGAAATGCAAATCAAAACTACAATGAGATATCATCTCACACCAGTCAGAATGGCCATCATCAAAAAATCTAGAAACAATAAATGCTGGAGAGGGTGTGGAGAAAAGGGAACACTCTTGCACTGCTGGTGGGAATGTGAATTGGTTCAGCCACTATGGAGAACAGTATGGAGGTTCCTTAAAAAACTACAAATAGAATTACCATATGACCCAGCAATCCCACTACTGGGTATATACCCTGAGAAAACCAAAATTCAAAAAGAGTCATGCACCAAAATGTTCATTGCAGCTCTATTTACAATAGCCCGGAGATGGAAGCAACCTAAGTGTCCATCATCGGATGAATGGATAAAGAAGATGTGGCACATATATACAATGGAATATTACACAGCCATAAAAAGAAACGAAATTGAGCTGTTTGTAATGAGGTGGATAGACCTAGAGTCTGTCATACAGAGTGAAATAAGTCAGAAAGAAAAAGACAAATATCGTATGCTAACACATATATATGGAATTTAAGAAGAAAAAAAATGTCATGAAGAACCTAGGGGTAAGACAGGAATAAAGACACAGACCTACTGGAGAATGGACTTGAGGATATGGGGAGGGGGAAGGGTGAGCTGTGACAGGGCGAGAGAGAGCCATGGACATATACACACTAACAAACGTAAGGTAGATAGCTAGTGGGAAGCAGCCGCATGGCACAGGGATATCGGCTCGGTGCTTTGTGACCGCCTGGAGGGGTGGGATAGGGAGGGTGGGAGGGAGGGAGACGCAAGAGGGAAGAGATATGGGAACATATGTATATGTATAACTGATTCACTTTGTTATAAAGCAGAAACTAACACACCATTGTAAAGCAATTATACCCCAATAAAGATGTAAAAAAAAAAAAAAAAAGAACAAAATTGTATTCATCTGCATCCCCTCAGGGCAGGGCCATGGTTAAGGGGATGAAAGTGAGACACTCACATCACTGCAAAATTTAAGGGCGTCCCCCAAAACTCAGTAATCAAGGCAAATGTTATTTTAATGCAACATTTTTTTAAAAAAATCAAAATTAGTGCAAAAAATCCACAATGAACAAATATCAAATCTTTCAGCAAAGATAGGATTAGTACTCAGAGAGGTCATTATTAGTCAGAATAGCCTTATTTATGTTGCAGTTTTTTTTTTTTAAAGCATAATTCCCAGATCTCAGAGGCTAATGAAAAAAAATGTTGAGTTATTGTTTCTATTACAAATCTGGTGAAGGTCCACATGGGCTTTTCTGCCCATAGTTACACAGGGACTCATGCCAGGCAGGCAGTCTCTATAATCGCTGCAACAGAAAAACAGAGATCTGGAGGGCCATTATATGAGTCAGCTTAGGTTCGGTAATGCTGCAGTAACAAGTGGCCGTGAAATCTCAATGGCTTCCAGCAACAAAGGTTGAATTCTGGCTCACAACATGTCCTTCATGAATCAGCTCCTGCACATATTTTTCACTCCAGGTCCAAGGCTGAGGAAGCAACACTTATCTAGGACATACCACTCTCATGGCAGAGGGAAGAGATAGAAGGGAAGAATTCTAAGGTGACTATAAAACTCCTGCTCACAATGGCACACCTCACTTCTCAAACTTCATGGCCAAGGAAAGTTATATGGTCTATCAGGTACCAATAGAGCGGAGAAGTATAATCCTCTCCCAGAGGAAGAAATAGAAAATATTGTGAATATAATGCTATGTTCCACAGTCCACCATTCTTTTCATGGATATTCACCTCTCTTCCTTCTACATATAAACACACTCCTTAAAGGAGTCTACCTGAAAGTCCCATTCAATCATGGCATTAGGCACAAAGCGCAAGATCTCTACATCTTGATCCCTAAACTTATGAACTAAAAAGAAAAGTTTTTTGCTCTACATACTATCATGAGAAAGGGTAGAATAACATCATTAATTACCTATTGCTGCATTATACATCAGAGACAAATAATAATAGTCCCTGTTATACTCTAACTGAATCCCAAATTCAAATGCTTATGAGCATAATAAATTTGTTTTTGTTTTATTCCTATAAGTTTTGAAGTGGTTTGTAATAGAACAATAAATGATCAGATCATAAATTGGTACTTAGAATGGGGTGTTGTCATTAAAAAAAACCCAAAACACTAAGATATGTGATATTGTCTTTTGGACTGAGTTGTAGACAAGAACTCAAAGAGCCTCAAGGAGTCTTAGTGAACTTGACTTTGTTAAAGTCAAGTTAAAGACCTTGTTAAAGACCTTGTTATTAGAGATTGGAGTGAAGAGGATATATATCCTTCTTAATGGTGAAAAGTTTGGAAACACTGTTGCCTGAGGTAATGTGGAAAACAGATTCCCAGGAAGAATGTTGAAGCTGCCAGGTGATTTTGTTTACCTACATATAAAAAATTATAAATGGAAAGAGATAAACTCTTTAGTTTTCAATTTCAATAATAATTTAGAGGTAATATAAGGGAGTCAGGACCTGTAGGTTCAACAAAACTATTTCTCTTTCCCAGTCTCTCAGGGCAGCAAAAAGATCTCAATACAGGAAATGGCCTCAAGGTAAAGATCATCTCAAGCATGAGATGAAGATCTTTTGTTAATACTAAAGAAATATTTATGGGCATGACTTGCAGACTCTCAACTAGACAAAAAGGCTTCTAAACATCTTTAAGGTGTTGTTTCACAGCACTCTGACTCTAACATGAAGTCAGAGAGAGCCTGCCACGAAGAGATCTGTGAGTGTTGTTTTTGTCTAACGGAGTGAAGCCTAGTACTATTTATAGGAAACTCACATAATATTTAAGATAATTAAATTTGTGGAAGCACTGGCAACTTATAAAAGGGATGGAAATAGCATAAAATTATGGGTCTCCAACTTTCTACAGGAAGAAGACTGAGAAGGGTACTCAGCTGCATACCTGACTGATTTCCTATGGAATGGAATGTTCTTAGACTGTATAACCAAGGGCCATGGAAAATGATTACTGGGCAGTAAAACTGGGGCCTAAATCAAGGAACCAACAACATATTCCTGGCTGTATTTCAGAATTGCTTTAGACTAACAACTGCTGTGTGCACCCTATTTCCCCCTTTTTAGTGTCTGTTTTGTCTTTTTATTGCATGTTAGGTGTATTTAGGAGATAATAACTTAGTTTTTTAATTCAAAGTTCTTCAGGTCAAGAGGAGCCATACTCAAGAGACCAAACCCAAAGAGCCTCATCTATACCAGGACCTGATTTAGATGATAATATCCTGGAAT